TACCTGCATATATTCTAATCCTCACTCGTTGTTCCTGTGGGCTCCAGCAACTCTAAACCCCTGAGCTTGCCTGAGAAGGACTAAATACACAAAGCAGCTATTTCTAAATATCCCACGGAGAGAGACTCTCACTGCAGCCTGTTTTATTTTGTTCTGAAAATGTCGGTGTGCAGCCTCGTTCTGTGGAAGATGAACAAGGTGCAGACTGATAAAGGAAATACAGTGAGTGCTGGACGGAGCAGTGAGTGACAACAACCCCGCCCACATTTAAGGGTACTGTGGAAACACTAGGGTCTCGGCTTCATGTCTGAAGGGTTACTTTTGGTTCCAAAGGTACTGTACCTAAAGTGTTTGGTGGAAACAGGGCTATAGATCATCCCTTCATGGTGAGAGTGGTGCAGTTACAACCATCCCCGGTCTCCCCTACAACACAAGCAAGACGACAGGACTACCCATTTTAGCAGACATGCCAGAGGCGGGTGGAGAGATGAACTATGAGCTAGGCGGTGGAAAACTACTCATTTCCTCGCCTGTATGGTTGCTTGTGTTTCTGCATTTAACATGGACTCTGTTAAAGTCAAACCAACCTTTGAGCCTTCAGCTGTCACTGAGGGTGTCTGTGTGTGTGTGTGTGTGTGTGTGTGTGTGTGTGTTTACGTCATGCATCAGGGATAACTGCCCAATCGCAAAGTATTGGTTAGATGTTTATGTGGCCTAAATAGCGTCGGAGCTTACTAATACTACGGTCTTTACATTAGAGCCGTGTTAATACTTCGTAGGTAACTTTTAACTCTCAGAGAAGATTTTAACTAACCTTAGCTCTGCCTTCCACTGACAGCGTCCTCCTCCACACACTTGGGTAACTTCCTCAAGTAAACTCACAGTGGGTGCGCAGTGGAGTCTGCACTCCACTTGGCGGGCGGATACGGTTAAACGTCACGTCACGTTCTTACAAACACAAGGCAATACTGGTGAATATCATTCAGGCAGGAAAGCTGTTAGGACATCCAAATAACATATTAAAAGTATTCCATTTTATACTTAGTGGATCAAGGTAAATTCAGGGCTCAAAATTTGGGGCCATTATATCACAGCATCACACAAAAAAGTGCATATCTGCTTCTGAACATGATATTTTCATATAATTTATGTCTAATCATTCGATTTTTAGGATGTTCCTTTACATATAACCATCAAATATGACCTGTTCTGAATGTATGTGCACTTAGGGAGTACCCTTACCCCAAAATTATTTTTCCCTCATCCAATCAATGTCAAAAAAAGTGAGAAAAATTAGGCTATAAAGCATATTACTAGTGATGGCCAAATGAGGCCTCATGAACCACTGTATTTATTTTCTGAAGCCACCAGATGGCGCTGTCTGTTCAGCAAAGGTTTGAACGCACACTTCATTGCCAGTCCTTCAGCCTGTCCCCTTCTCCTCAAGAGGCTCTTGCCTTTTGCCAGGCCAGTACTGTAAATAAAAATTTGTTCTTAATGACTTGCCTGGTTAAATAAAGGTTAAATAAAATAAAATAAATATCTTTAAACCAAGAGCGCCATCTGGTGGGGTCAGAGAATAAAGAAAGTGGTTCATGAGGCTTCATTTGGCCGTCACTACATATTACCATTCAGTTTTCTACACATATGAATGTGTTTGTCCATGAAGACCATGATGTATATCAGCAAATGAGACCAAACTTGAAACATGCCTCGGCTTTTTCATTCTTTGGTTTAACTGTTGGCGCCATTGAAGGTTGTCATCTGTGACTAAGCTGCCACTTGGGAAGGGTTATTATGTTGAAATATCATCTAGAGATAAAGAGTTTGTCATGATACCAAACTAGAATTTGCCACCTTGGTGCCAATTAGTAAAAATTCTGCCCTGGGCCCATAAAACCTGATCACCACTGATTTCCCATAATGTTTTCAAGCGTAACAAATAGATGATTGTATGTGTTTCCGATTCCATCCCATCTAAGGCGTACAGGATGCCTTTTCTGATGCATCACCATGAAGCACAGTTTTCATTTTGCTTTTGCATTTTAATTTGTTTAAATAATTTTTTTAAGTGAATGAAGAAAACAAGATATTGACAATAAGAATTAAAATGCTGATGGTGACCATATACATTCTTAAATGTCTTTTCAACGGAGTGTTTTCTGGGATGTTTTTTTTTTATCTCTCTGTGTGGCTCAGGATGTCAGAACACATCAGCAGCAGCAGCTGGGGGACACTGAAAATGATTCAAAAAAATAATTTTGAATCTGCATTATTATGGATTTGTCTCAAGTGGTCAGTTTCACAATGAGGTTAAACACCCAATGAAAGCAGTTTGAAATTTGCAAAATAATAGCACTGTGTATTTTTTCCAGGAAAAGAAGGTCCTCACAAAATGACAGTGAAAATGTACAAATGGCATTCAGTGTTATTTGTGTGAATGTGCAGATTCAACCAATACGATAACACACTCTTGCCTTTAATTGGAGTTTATTAGTATATATAAGTACATATAGCCTAAGAAAACCCGATATGACTATACAAATCTGAGAAAATGTCACAGTATACAGACAATATACACTCACCGGCCACTTTATTAGGTACACCTGTTCAACACATATAGCTAACCAGCTAATCACGTGGCAGCAACTCAATGCATTTAGGCATGTAGACATGGTCAAGACAACCTGCTGAAGTTCAAACTGAGCATCAGAATGGAGAAGAAAGGTGATTTAAGTAACTTTGAACGTGACATGATTGTTGGTGCCTGGTGTGTCAGAAACTGTTGGTCTACTGGGATTATCACGCACAACCATCTCTAGGGTTTACAGAGAATGATCCGAACAAGAGAAAATATCCAGTGAGCAGCAGTTCTCTGGGTGAAAATGCCTTGTTGATGCCAGAGGTCAGAGGAGAATGGCCAGACTGGTTCAAGATGATAGAAAGGCAACAGTAACTGAAATAACCACTGGTTACAACCAAGGTCTGCAGAAGACCATCTCTGAACCAACAACACGTCCAACCTTGAAGCAGATGGGCTACAGCAGCAGAAGACCACACCAGGTGCCACTCCTGTCAGCTAACAACAGGAAACTGAGGCTACAATTCACACAGGCTCACCAAAATTGGACAATTGGAAAAACGTTGCCTCGTCTGATGAGTCTGAATTTCTGCTGCGACATTCAGATGGTAGGGTCAGAATTTGGTGTAAACAACATGAAAGCATGGATCCATCCTGCCTTGTATCAATGGTTCAGGCTGGTGGTGGTGTAATGGTGTGGGGGATTTTATTCACATCATGAATGCAACCGACAAATCTGCAGCAACTGTGTGACGCTATCATGTCAATATGGACCATAATCTCTGAGGAATGTTTCCAGGACCTTGTTGAATCTATGACACCAAGAAAGCTCTGAAGGCAGAAGGGGTCCAACCTGGTACTAGTTAGGTGTTCCTAATAAAGGGCTGATGAGTGTATACTCATTCTTCTTAATATTTTTATTCTCACAACAGTACAGAAAGAACATAAAATGACAGACAGCAGTTCTAAGGGAAAAACAATCAATGAACAAGACTGAAATAATTCACCTCTTTTATATTAAGACTCTCAACGTACAGATTATTCTGGTCTTATCATTTAGCTGAAGGGACCTGGTTGGATTCCTGGTAAGAAATAAAGTAAAACAAAAAACAAACCAACCTTCAAGTCTCTTCATAACAACACAAATCCAACAGTTTTTAGTCAAGCACATTACAGTGAAACATCAAAAGTCATGTGTTTGCCCTCACATACTTTTACAAGAATAAAAATAATAAAAAAAATTGACCACCCTAGCTGGAGCTCTGCCCAGGTTCTGGCACGATGAAGATGATAAAGATTTACAAGTGTCATATACAATTTAAACAACATTTAAACAAAAGAATCTGTCTTTAAAAATGTACTTAAATGTGACCTTAACAATCACACTAGGTTTGCTTGACCCATCTCGCTTGATTTAAAACACAATATTAACATAAAATAAAGTAATAAGAAGACTTAAAGTACAAAAAATATATATCAAAAATATTTCCACTAAAAAAACATGTTTCTTTACATGTTGCATGATCTTTAGTCATCTTAACACATTTAATATTTTCATATTTTTCATAAACCCAGACCACAAAATGCTAAAATAGATATCAAGCAAATGATTGAAGTTTTAGGAACCTAGTGTCCTTAAAGGAGACCTATTATGCTGTTCCTTTTATTCCGTCCTATATATTGTGTTAAAATGTCAGATGTTTATATTAATTGTGGTCAAAGTTTCAAATAATTAGGTAAAAGTATATAAAAGTAATCCCTGTGAGCAAAAACCTCAGGCTTCAGACACTTCTGAATACTCTGTTTCCTGTGTTTTTAAATTTAAAATAAAAAGACAAGCTGACATCAACTCATGACTGATATCTAAATATGGACATCTGCTCCACGCTACAAATGCTAATGTTTACATTACATAGCCTACACTGCTACATGAAGCCACATGCTAACATGGTCTTGTTTGCCTTTGTTGTTAATTTCTCCACAATTCCAGATCATATTCCTGCTGCAACATATTCAGTTGTGTTTAGAAGCTTTTACTGGTGATTTTTTTCAAGGGAGAAAATGTCGCAATACAAAAACATTCCTCTGCTGCAACGACACAACACTGCTACATGTAGCTACATGCTAATGTCAGGGAAACATGTAAACTTGTTTGCTGATGTTGTTAAATTCTCCCCGATGTTGGATCATGTTTCTGCTGGAACATGCCTGGCAGTGATGGCCAAATGAAGCCTCATGAACCACTTTCTATATTTTCTGACCCCACCAGATGGCACTCTTGGTTTAAAGATAAAGGCTGAAAGACTTGCAATGAAGTGTGCTTTCAAACCTTTGTTGACCAGACAGTGCCATCTAGTGGCTTCAGAAAATAAAGACAGTGGTTCATGAGGCCTCATTTGGCCATCACTAACTGGTTGTGTTTTAAAGCTATAATTAGTGATTTTTAATGGGGCAAAGTGCTGCCATTTAGGTCCCTTTAAATGAAGTCACTATTTTCATCAGATGTGTCAGATGGAGATCAGCTGATATAAATAACCTGTAGCATCTCTTTTCACAGCAGAGACTAATAAGTCCATTACTAAAAGTGCTCGACTGTTTGACCCTGTAAGGGGGAGGCGAAACATTTGATGGATAACATTGTGTCCAGTGTCCTTTGTGTCAAATGTCCAAGGGCACAGCACTGCCTTTGACGTTTATGTTTTGTTCCTTTATTCACATTCTTCAAGCTCAGTTATGAGAGGCTTCATACTTCTCATCCCTTTCAGGATTTCATAGAGAGCGTCTTTGTCTCTTGTGCTGGCTGAAACCAAACACTGAAGAATGTGCTTCATTTGGTCTTGAGTGGTTTTTAAAGCTCTCACAGCATCATAGCTCTCATCTGAGATCACCCCCCTTTCCATGAGCTTATCCAGGATGGTTCCTGTATCCGTCACTCTCTCAATCAGAGCTGTCCGATGGTGATCCACAAAATGCTGACCTGAGGCAGGACGATAACAGCAAAGCAAACAAAGTGAACTGTAAATCAAAGAAATGAAAAGAGCAAAAGGTAGCAATGTTGTTCAAGGCCTCAATGTGAAGTCATCATATCATTTTTCAAGTTTTATTTTTGCATGTTTCTTACCTCCAGTGGTATCTGCTGAGACAGACGGGTCAGGTTGTATTTGCTCTGGCTCTGAGCTGCTCATCACTGAGAATGGAATGGGAATTCATTAGTGATGCCCGATGAAAAATAACATTTAACATANCTACATTTTTTTGTCTCCAAAATGAAAGTTATGGACCACTTGCCCTTCACTGAGATCCAATTCTCCCATCACAGCCGTCACTTTGACCAGTAGAAACACAGAACGATCTGCTGCCGTAGACAACTGTATGACAACAACACCCCAGCGTTTTTAATATTTCCTCTAGGGATGTTACCACACAGAGTAAAAGGGAGAAATGATGGTGTGAAACAGCAGAGGCACTTTGTCAACCCACTGAGTTAATGTTACTGTCATTAGCATCAAGGTAGCAAACAATGGTACATCCTCACGGTCGGACATGTAAGGGATAATGTATAATGAGCAGGTGAATACTGGGAAAATAACTCCCGACAGGGGAATAGAACCCTGACGCGCAGCGGGCATAAAACTTGCATAAAATGTCATTAAGCATGACTGCCGAGTGTGTATTCAAATCCGTGTTCTTTTGTTTTTGGCAGAGAAAGTCCGTCAGTATAGTAGTAGTAGTACAGTACAGTATAGTACAGTAGCCCATTTTGTTGTCTTTTTTGCATTTATTTAATCTTTCTCCTCCTCTATCACTTGAAGCTCTTCAGGTGTCAGTTCCTTGTGCTGTTTTTCGCTTGATTTTTTTCTTTCCTTCTCCATTTCTTTTTCTTCAGCGGCATCCTATTCCTCAAAATCCTTGTAGCTACTCTCCAAATAAGTTAAAAGAAATGTTAAAATCAGCCATTTCTGTTTGTTTTTTCCCTCAGAAGTTGTTTGACAGCTGCAGTGTTGCAGGGCAGCGTCCCTAGCAACGCTGGGCTAAATAGCAACTGTGTAATGACTGTTGCTACTAGCTACTGATTGGTCAGACCGCTGAATGCCGCGACTGACCAATCAGATTACAGCATTTAATAGAGCCGTGTAATAAAAAGTAATAACATTAACAAATAGCGGTGGGGCTTTTACTCACCACAACTGCAGAGGCTCCCAGCTTCATTTGAAACAAACTACATTATAGACGGTCCGTTATTTATTAATCCCTCTGTGTGTTTATATATTTACTTTTTATCCACTCCATTGTCTTTATAAAGTTAACATATCGCACCGTCATTTCAAACTCGACACTTGTTTCAAATTAAAAGCCCCTTATAACCTCGGCTGAGGGAATCCCTCCATTTTCTAAATAGGCATTTATTGTGAAACATTTGAAGGAACTTGGTTGTGGAGGATACAGTAGCTTGAATGTTTGCGTACGGTACTTCAGATGTAGCTCCTGCCATCTGCTGGCGCTTTCTACGTTACTACAACAACATTTCGGCTGGCACATGAACACACACAGTGACTGAAATAATAGTAAAAGTAATAAAAATAGGACAAGAATAACCCGATGACATCACACACGCTGTGAAAGACGACCGGGGATAATTGGTGAGTACCAGCTTGTAGTGTGTCATGTCTGTCGGCCAAGTCACAGCACGATTTTATGACTCCACAATCGTGTAATGTGACATAGTGACTGTCAGAATGGGCAGAAAAGTCGTGTAGTGTGTACCAGGCATAATGCAAGTCCTTAGTCTGAAATATGTCTGTCAGCGAGTCACATTTTTTTAAGACTCCACCGTAGACAATGGCAGCATTTCTTCTACCACGTAGTGAGCCACAAGCTCCGTGGCTTCTTTCAGACTGATAGGTTTAACCTTATCTCCGTTATTAGAACCAAAAGACAGTCGTTGCTGTTTCAGAGCTGAAGGACCAGCGTTCTAAAAGTAACGGAAGTAACTGATGTTTTGTTTGAAAAGGTACTTAAGTATTTGATTACTCAAACAGCAAACTAATGCGTTAGGTTACTCGTTACTGCAAAAAGTAATCAAAGTACTCTAACGCGTTACTTTGTAACGTGTTATACCCAACTCTGATAACAATATGTCTCTTTAAAAACAATGCCTCAGCTACTTTTGATAATCTACAGACCTTTCTCTTCAATGTTATAATTAAAATATACAAGTATTATGTATTTTCTTCAAGATCAGAGAAGAAAAGAACAGATCAAGATAAATCACAGAGCAACAATAGTGACAAAGGTAAACTAGACCTAAACATGGAACTAATTTTTGAAAATACTACAAGGTAGGTATTTAATTATGATTAAACTGTAGTACATTATACCCTTCTTACCATTTTCTGCAGGTTTTGTCTGGATGGCAAAGGCTACAGGTCCTCTGATGGTAAAGCCAAGGTAAAAAAATACTTGGCGATGTTTCCAGAGGCTGTTTCGGAGGTTTGCGTCCAGCTCAATCGATGTGCCACCAACATTTGCATAGACTCTACAGTTACGTACCTCCCCTGTCACTCTGAGAAGGTGTTCTTGGACCTTGGGCTCTTGGAAAATCTTCTCGTTCCTCCAGTTGTTGCTCCAATCTTGTATTGTTTCCTGATTTGAGTCAAGAAATATTTCTTCGAGGACCTTACTGTGAACAATTCTGTCCAAATCTTGACCATTTCCAATGAAAAACAGAGGGCGGAGGTACCTTGATCGAAAGTGCATCTTGTATGCATGTTCGTAGGCATGTTGCATACCCAGAATGAATTTCCCGAGGTTGATGACACATTTGTCTTCACTGTCTGTAGGCCAGCACAGGAGGAGGGCTAACATGTGGAGCTCAGGTGAATCTTCGGGAATCAGAGGCAGTTTAAATTCTCTCTCTTCTCTCTCTCTGCATTTAGAAGGAAGAATTGCGAGGATGCAGTTGGCCACCGCTGTTACTGAATCTTTGTGCAGGAAGAGTTCTTCCCACCATGTGGTTATTTCTTTAAGGTCTGATTCGGTACATTCTCTGTCAAGACAGGAGAGTACTCCAACAGAGGTGTCCACCCGGTTTTGTTTAAGCTTCTGGATGAGATCAGCGCCTTTTTGTTTGAAATGCCTCAGTGGGGAGTCTCCGACATAATTCCTGTAGCATTCTGAGGTGTCTTTGGAAATGTATGAGGGATCATCTTTCTTCGTGCTGGGCTTTGAGTAAGTCAGATATTTGTCAAAAAATGCACATTTTCTGTCAACCTCATCTCTGAGGCTGTTTATTAGATCGTAAAATCTGAAGAGTTTGTTGTCTCCAAGTGCTTCAAGGACAGAGCCCAAGGACACATTCTTTGTGAGAACGTCTCTCCAAGTTTCGTTGTGACTGACAAGTAGGTCATACACAAGGTTGCAAACCTGTAGATAACCAAACTGCCCCCTGCTGTTGAAAACATTTGAGACTTTGGTCTTGCCATCTCCTTTCATGTCTGTCCCACGTTCATTTTCAGCAAGTCGTTCTTCATCTTTGAAAGCTTCAATAGCCTTTGTGGCCAGCTGCAAAATCTCTCTTGGTGTGGCATGACGGCCTATGTTCTTCAGATGATTCTTATGGACTTGGCCCAGTGTATCCGCAATGAATGAATTGAGGGGATCTCTTTGCTTTGCTCTCTCTGCCCACATTTCTGCCAGAATGTAGTGTTTTAGTTCTATGTAATAAAAACGAGCAAGTGCTTGTGGAAAAAATGGATTTTGATAAAACTTTTTTGTTGCCGTTTTTAAAACTGATGCACTCTGTTTCTTGCTCTCCATCCTTTGAATATCCAGAATCAGTCTTGAAAATCTTTCCTCTTTCATTTTCTCACTACTGATTGGGTTCTCTTCAGTTTTCATGTCTTTTGGTTTTGGTCTTCTTTTGGTGAGCATGTCTTTGACAAAACCAACCAAAAATTGAGGAACGTCACCTCTGCACAAACAGGTCAAGAGGTTTCTTGCTGTGTCACTTCTGGTCACACCTGCCTCAGCCATCAATTTAGTATAGCACTGTGCTATCATAGGGTGAGCCATGCAGACCCTCTTTTCAGATCCATCTGGTTGGAAGGTGATGATGAGATGGCTAAAGGGCTCCATTCTGTCCTCCAGTGAAAAGTCTCCATGGATGTAGCCGTCATGTTTGAAGAAATCCAGGCACTGAGACTCCAGGAGATATGAGCCTGGTACATAGGCATTCAGCAGGGATAGAAAGGCAACAAGCTGGGTCTTCTTTGGTCTGTTTGCTTTTTTGATGTTTTTGAATACAGAGCATGCTTCATGGATGTAAGTCTGAGAAAAACTGGTTTGCATTATGTTGAAGCCATGGAATTGATTGCATTTATCACCGAACCTTCTGTAAAGTTCTTCCTTTTTCTCACTGAATTTTTTCTCCTCTGTCTCAGAAAGTACATCTTGTAGGAAAACTTGGTCACCCTGTAGAACTTCATCCTTTCTAACGCAGCTGAGTAAAATCACCACAGGCATAAGGATGACTATCTTCTGCTCAGCAATCTTCATCATAATGCTCTCTTGCAGATCTTCCAGAATCTGCTCATCATTTACTAACAGCAGCACAGTGTTCTGGTGGCCTCGGCTGCCTGCTGTGAAAAGGTGGACCACCTCCTCTGCAACTTTTGTGATGTCTGAGGTTGAGTCTGTTAAAACAGCGCTTCTGAAGGTTTTCCTCAAGTCCCACAACACCTTCATGGCCAGCGTGGTCCCCCCACATCCTGGCTGGTGGAACAGATTAACAACTGATATTCTAGGGAATTTTCTC